TCTGTTTTGTCACTGATGTCATTCATCTGTTATCAGAGTGGGTGGATTTTGTAAGCTGGCCACAGTGCATTTTGAAAAGGCCATGTGGCTGTATATAACTGTACTGTATAAAGGAGATAAATGCTTAGCCTGCCACAATGTTGAGATGTTTTTATTTTATTTTATTTTTTTTATCAGTAAACTCTCATACCCGTATGTCTTGAACAAAGAAGTTCTAGTCTGTGGTGCTTCATAATGCCTTACTAATGCTTCTTATCTCATTTTTAAGAGAGTACTCCAAAAAAAGCAGGAACCAACTACATGGGCTATTACAGGCTCACTGCTTTGCAAAAATAATGACTTGTCTTTGTGTTGCCCAGATCTACAGGTGTTACAAAGAGTAAATCAGGCAACCAGTGCTGCATTCTCTGTCCTTGCTAATTGGTTCTTGCAGCAAAATTCTGCAATATATCTTCCTCCTGCCATGGAGAAAAGGAAAAGAGTAATAGTGTGATAGCACATGCTGCTTCCATGGTATTTGCTTTCTTCCAGACAGAGCCTGGTGCACCAGACCTTCATTCCTACTAAAACTGTGGCTGTGGTTTTTCTGAGAAATGTTTTGGAAAAAAAAAAAAAAATCGATTCAAGTATAAATATTAATAAAGATTGTGGTAAGGCTGCCCTTCATAAAATAGCTATATGCCAATGGTAGGGAAAACAAAAGGCTTTTTTCCTTCTCCTGCAGTGTGCCCAGTTCTAATGTTTTCTAATGCTTTCAGCATGGTCCTGACATGCCCCCTGCTTTTGCAATCTCCTCATTTCTTTTCTCCACCTGTACCAAATATAATAAACACTGAGAGAGGGAAGAGAAGTTGCAGTCTGGCAGGTCAATTTGTAAAAACAATTAGTGTTTTAGAGATTAGGACTAGTCAAATGGCTTGTTTACAAGAACTTGCTGTTCTGCTGTTTAAGTGTAAGATTCAAGTTTTCCTGTTTTCACCCTAAATGGCAGCAGGACTTAATGTCATCTACAGTGTTCATAGATGTTTGATCCTGTTGTTACACCATGGATTTCAAGCTGTGTCTGCCATAGTTTCTTACAACTGATGACTGAGTTCACCAAGCACATCTTCTAGAGCATTTTGCAGAAACAATTTTCTGCGAAATGCTGTGGTGGGGATGGCCGTGATTTCATCCGTATCATCTGTCTGGAACATTTGCTATAGTATTTTCTTGGTTTTTATTTTCTTTCTTCACTGAACATTTCTATATGGCATTGTGTAATGCATTTGTAAAAAGGGACCTTGGAAATTTACAGCTTTCACCTCCATTAATGATTAAAAGTTATCGGGATTCTAAAAAAATTTTAAGTTTGTCTTAAAGTGAGAATATTTTGCTTAGATTCCCGTGATAAATAAGTGGTTCACTCTTGTGTCCAAAGGCTTAAGGTACTTTTACGTCTTTGCAATCTTTATAGATGGTGACTGCAGGAACTTATTTGCAATTTCTGAAAATAAGCTGCTTTTAGCTTTGATATATGCCTAGTCTCCAAGCCTTTGGGATGTGCTGGGGAAATGCAGAAGACAGAATACTTGCTGAGGGCAAGCTCCATTCTTTGGGAAGGATTGTTTTCACAGACTTTGAAAAATGTGTGTAGATTTCAAGTTTACTGGACTGTTTCCTCATTTTAAAAAAATTGAGGGGAAATTATATTGCTGCAATACTTTTATTCTTCCTTTTTTTACTTCTTGGTACTATTGAGAATCTGTCACTGGAGAAGTATCTGTGCTTGGTGTAGTCCTGCTGTCTGAATGGTGTGGATCTGTGCAAAGGGATAAGATTTTGTTCCCAGTGCTGGTGAGAGAAAAAAATCCTGTAAAAGTCCGATTTATGATTTTTGGTTGCTTCTGTAAGGTCATAGTTTTCTGTTTGTAAGGGTTACTGTAGGAGGGTTTGGTTCCCATCAAGTTTAGTGCTTATTTAAAATATGACAAAGTCTACATATAGACATAATAGTGAGACAACAGAGCTAAATCATGATTTTAATCACATCACATTGCTGTAATGTACTCTCAGTGCAGATCCATGGGGCAGTTCCCTCTTGTTTTTGGACCTTGGGTGTTGGTTCATCTACACAGCAATGCCCAGCACAGATTTACCAGGCTGGTTCAGCCCAGACTTGGGAAACTTGGGGAATTTTCAGGTACACTGAAAAATCCTGTGTTGATAATTTGGGCAGGGATGCTCAATATTTTTGCTGATTGAAATGAACCAGGAAAATGTGTCCTCCATAGATGTGAGGCCTTCTTAAATAGGAGTCACCTTCCGCAAGTGAAAGTGACATCAAAGTTTTCAAAATTTTTCAGATGAAATTGATTTTAAAATGTGGTATAGTTTTGCCTCTAGGGGCACTAAAATGGGGAGAAGGGGTTTCCCCATTTTGTGTGCATGAAGCTGCCTGGGTTATTTCTCCCACTCATGTGCTCAGCAGTTGAGGGTTTTGAAAGCTCAATCCACACAAGCCATTTCAGCAAAACCAAGGCAAAATGTGACTTTCTCTATAACTGTGAGTTGTATGAAGTATTTTAAAAGTATCTCTTAAGACTTGAGGCATTAGGAGTCAATCAGTTTACTATCAAGACCTGTATTTGTCTGACATTTATCCCACTTGTATTGTGAGTCCTTCCCTCAAGTACTGTGTCCAGTTTTTGGCCCCACAGTGTAAGCATATGAAAATACCAGAATATGTCCAAAGGAGGGAAACGAGGATGGTGGAAGGACTAGAGGACAAGACTTCTGAGGAACAGCTGAGGATGTGAGGTTTGTCCACTTTGGAGAAGAGACTGAGGGGGTGACCTCATTGCTGACTACATCTTCCTCATGATGGGAGCAGCAAGGGAAGTGCTGGTTTCTCCTGAGGATGGGACACGAGGGAATGGCTTAAAGCCTATCAGAGCACATTGAGATTGGATATAAGGAAAAGTTCTCCACAGAGAGGGCAATCATGCACAAGAAGCTCCCCAGGGAAGGTGTCATGGCCCCAGCTGCTGTTCATGAACTGTTTGCCCAGTGCTCTTTAGATACATGAGTTAGTTTTTAGGGTGTCCTGCATGGAGTCTGAATTTGGACTCAATGATTCTCCTCTTGTGTCCCTTCCAACTTGCAATATTCTATGGATTTGTGATTACTCATTTAAAAAAAAGCAAACTAAAAGCTGCCTGAAATGAAGAGAATAAAGTGAATTGGTGGAAAAACTAATACATAGTCCTTAACCAGTAAGACTAAATCTGGAACAAGTCACATGTAGGTAGAAGTCTTCTGATTCTGGGGGTGTTCTTCAGCATTCTGCTTCTGTGTCATGGTTTCAAGTTCTGTTTTAGACCTCTTTGACAGAACAGCTTTTGCAGAGAAATATGCTGTAGAAATGTTTAACAACATTGGCAGCATTTTTCAGGAAGGCTCTTTATAGATCTCAAGTGTCTCTTGGTAGGCTGCTTGGTAGGTCCATGTCTTGGAACGGTCCATACTTCCTTTTTTTATCTTTCTGTGGTTGATACCTTGTGTCATTGTGAGAGATCATTTGGACTCACCAACCACTCAGTTTACTTTCTTTAATAGATACATACACGTGTGTGTAGCCACAAATGTATGTATGTATAATAATGATGATGTGAACAATTACATAAAGAATTGTTAACAACTGATCCCAGACATTTTTAATTTTATTGAATTTTGCAATAGATACAAAAAAATGCTTGCCTGTCCTCAGGTAGAACCAGAGTGCTCTCTGGTTGTGTGATTTTTGTGCTGAGATGTGCAGGAATTTCTTTGCAGGAAGGGAGTATGGGGGATGTAATATTTCTGTACTTAAATATGTGGCTGTATTGAGAGGTGAAGGGGGTTTTTGTGTATGCGTGTGGGTAGGAGGTTTGGTGTCTGAAAAGGGGGTGAGCAAGATGTGAATCATGGTTTTTTTAAATTAAAATAAATATTTCATTTTTCTAGCCTCATCCTGTACAGTAGTTTCTCCACAGAGAGCACAATGATAATCATGTATAAATTTCATTATTTAAGTAAAATTATCTCATCCAAAGCACAAGCTCACTTCATTGTCTTAGTTCTATGTTTGTTAAGCAGTGAATTGTTAATGCTTTTCTCTCAGATAATTATTAGTGACTATTTTGCAATTCTAAAGAATTCTTTATAGGTGTACTCTTGAAAGAATGCATACTAGAAGAAAATCTTAGTACTTTGATATTTATTATGAAAGTAAATTCTGTTGGGACCCGGTTTAAATGCTGCTTTTGAGTGTTTATGTAGTAGCTCGGAAGGAATAACTTCATTGTGTTGCTTCTGCAAAACTGGCTGATGACAGATTTTTATTGGGACAAGCCCTTTCTTCAGAATACATCATGTAAGAGTGTTTCCTTTGTTAATAGTGCGTGGAGTGTTGGAGTGGATGAATTTGAATAATGATTGGTTTTCCGCTGCTCAGCGGCAGCTTCCACTTACAGAGCTGAGCACTGAACTTTTTATTTATTTTATTTTATTTTTAATGAAAGACTGAATATTTTCCGGGGACAGCTGGCAGGGATGTGCAGGGACCCCGGGCTGTGCTGTCCCCAGCCATATGTCCCGGCTAGCCGGGGGCTGTTTGTGTACATCACTCCGAACAGTTGGTACTGTTTTCCTTTAAGAACTGCCACAAGCTTCAGGACTGCACTGCATACCCTACATAAAAAAAAAAAAAAAAAAAAAAAAAAAAAAAAAAAAAAAAAAAAAAAAAAAAAAAAAAAAAAAAAAAAAAAAAAAAAAAAAAAAAAAAAAAAAAAAAAAAAAAAAAAAAAAAAAAAAAAAAAAAAAAAGATCCCGCCACCCCCTCCCCGGTGTAGATGCCGCTGGTTCAGCAGCAGCCCCGGGCCGGGCATTGTTTGCTGTCGGAAGTGGGGCCGGGGACGGACGCGCCCCGCTCGGCTCTGCCCTTGTTGCATTATTAATGGCACGATGTTTTCATGTTGCAGATGGCTGAGGGCTAGCGGGGCGCATTCGGGACCGTGATGGCTCAGTTTCCCGCAGCCATGAATGGTGAGTAGCTCCGGGTTGCTCAGGTAGGGGTGGGAGGTTTGGGATTTGTTTGTTTGTGTTTTGTGGTGCCCACGGGTCACTTCGCTGCAGATCGCTGTGCGGAGCCTGAGCCGGTGCTGCGAGGCTGGGAGGGAACAGCATCTCTGCAGTGTAATTTGGGCGACGGGAGATGCCTGGAGTGGCTGACAATCTCGGATCATTTACAGGGCTGAGGAGTGTGTGAGTTGTAGTGCGAACACTGCCTGACTTTAAGGAAGGAATATGCTAAGTAATAGTTGATTAAACTTGCATACCTTTTCTGTTACGTAATTCAGTACAAAATGTGCTCCATTATAGTCCATTACGCTGTTTATTTTAAACAAAATATTTGAATGTGTCGAGCAGTTTGTGACATTGATGAAAACAATCAGCCCTTAAAAAAAAAAAAGTATTTTCCTCTTGATTGTGCTCTTTCCACTATATAAACTTATAAACTTTTGAATTTGTTTCTTAGTGATTTGCTTTTGAAGACATATGAGAGCTGGAAATTTGAAATTGTTCCTGTGTGTGTTTATGGGATGGAGCTTTTATTTTTAGAGATGACTTATTTGTGAAGGCACAATTTGCGAAGACCTGCAAAGAAATTTGACATTTGTGTGTTGTTATTTACAGAGATGCCAAAATGAAAATACAAGTATAGAAACAATGTTTTGTACTTAAGACACCCCTGAAAAAAAAAGAAAAATAGATACAGGAATGAGTATTTATCTCATTTATCTGTGAAGGTTACTGGGAGGTCTTTAACTAATTTAGAAAATTGTCACTGAGATAAATTGGGAAATTGTTTGGTTTTTTTCCTGGAACAACATTCAGATTTCAAATTAAACCTCTGTTTTACAAACCTGTTTCATGTGAGCATAAGACATTTTGTAAAAAAAAATGAATCTGTGTAATCAACACTTTTTTTATGTAGTCAGCTGTAGTTTTTTCCAGACTTTGTTTCACAGACCTTACAATAAAAGCCAAGTAAAAGGAGTCAGTAAATGCTAGGGGAAATTGTATGGACCAGATGATTTTTTTTTCACTTAATTTGACATAATGGAATTGGTTTTTTATTATTATTATTGCCACACAGTTTTTGCTTCTCAATTTAAAATAAACAGTCAGAAGCTCTCTTTGGAGAAGATACAGCTTTATGTTCTTGGCTGTCTCTGTGGCTGATGAATGCATAAGTTATTTGATATCTTTTTGTTTTGGCTTTTTTATTCCTTAGTTCTGTTGTATTGCAGTTGTGCTGTCAGTACTGACCACATACATTGCTCTCAGAAGGCTTCATTTGGGAGAGTGATCCTTGATCTGAAATCCCTTGGGCAGTACTGTCTGCCACTCTCAAAAGGAATGGCGTCAGAGGATTCTGTCCATCCTCTCTCAGAGGAAGGCATAGTATGAGAGAGAGCACAAGGAAGAGAGACTCCAGGCAGTAGTTAAACTATTGCTCCTCGCAGAGTAGTTTGGATGACTGTGTCCTGCAGTCATGTATCTTACCAGAACTGGTGAAATTTCAAACAAGTCAGGTATTTTAAACAATAGTTTTAAAGTGATTTCTAGGTAAATACCGAGCAACCTTTGGTGTTGAAGTTGTTGTTCTCTAATCTTTGCTCCTCTTCCATGCTACTTGCCACTTACAAGCACTGTTGTAGTGCTTGCATTCAAAGTAGTTCACCTTCATTTGCCACTCATTGCAAGAAACATATAATTATGTTATTAGACCTTGGTAGTGACTTGAAACATGAGATGAACAATGAGGTTATGTGTGAGGCAACCAAGCCATTAGGCACTGCTGCAGCCTGGGAGCGCTGGCTGCCTGCCTCACCTTTGTGTTAGCACAACATTGACCCTTCCATTTTGTATCCTACTGAGGGAAATAGTGGGTTCCTTCTGTAGGAAAAAACCCCTATTCTTACCAAGGTACAATATACTTAGCTTTTAGATCATGAGTAGTGTAATGCATGAAGTAGTTTCTGTTTCTGGGTTATTTTTGGCGTTCAGTGTTACAGAAAAGTGAGTGGATGGCATGGAGCAGATGTGTGTGCAAGTGTGTGATTATCTGACACAGTCTGAGAATTGCAGGGTTCAAAGCACAGTACTCAGCCTCAAACAAATACAAATGGGAGATGCTACAACACTTTATTTACCAGCCTAAGCAGAGAAAGCAGCTCTGCACAGGAACCTGAGAAGGAAGGGGAACTGAGTGTGTGTGTAGTTCCAGTGGAGGGACTCAGCTTTGTTGAGGCACCTTCAGAACATACCTTGCCCGAGCAGTGTCCTGAGCCTGTCCAGCCTCAGCATGTGACTGGTGGCCAGACTGTGCTGTCCTGGGAGCTGGCATGTTCTTCTGTGGCCACATGCAAGTGTTGTGTGCTCTAGGGGCACCTGCTGTTGATAGACCTTTCTTTAAAGTCATGAAAGGACACAGTGCCCAGAAAGGAGCTCCCTTTGACTCTCCATGCTGTCCAAGGTGACCTTTGTGGGTGCCTTACTAACAAGCTGAAATTCTGAGGAAAAGAAGGACTAAAGAGTGGGTGTTGGTTTTTCTGGAACTCAGGGCAGATCTGTTGATTTTTGCAAATTTTTATCTCGGGCAAAATGTAAAGGTTGTGGTGACATTTTATATGAAAAGGCAAGGCTGAGCAACATGTTTCTTATACAGCACCAGATGGAGAAGAGACATTTATGTATCTGGACTCCAGTTCTATCAAGGAGCCACTCCAGACATATCCTTCTCCCCCATCTGCAAACAAGATTGAAGATACCCTACTAAGAGTTTAGTTCTATCCTGTTACTGCTTAAATATTATTCATTATCCCTGTGAAAATGATAATGCAAACCCATTTTATGGTAGTTGATTCTTACAAACAGTTCTTCATCTGGATGCGCTTGCTTAGGAATTTATGCTGAGTCTTGCAAAAAGTTACACTAAATAACAACTTCAGCATTGTGTTTCCAAAGAAAGAGTTAATATACTAACTGCAAAAGACACTTAAAAGGATGGAGGCTTTAATAGGTTAAAATGTACTTCTGTCTAATTTGTCTCAGTGATTGCTGCCTTTGTCACTGGAAGAAGTAACCTTCACTGCCATGGGATGGGTTCTTTTCAGCTGGAAGGGAGTTTCGAGATGTTTCTTTTCCAACTCTCCTTCCTTCTGTAGGCTAGATTTGTTCAGGGTTTGATATCCATGCTGATGGATCTTGGTTTGAGGAGATACAATCTTAAGGGACCACCTGGAACAAGGAAAGCAGTATTTGCTGATCAGTATCTTTCACATTGTTTACTTAAGTACCATTGGAATTTCTGGGCTGTGCTTTTTTTTTGTTTGTTTATGTTTTTATTTGCCGTTTCTCTTCCCTTCTACCACCTGTTTCCTTTCGATATAAATTTTCTGTGGTCCAGCAGGAAAATCTCTGATAAACTGAGGTGTAGAAAGTAATAGCTGTAACTCATTTCACGTGCTTCTAAACCTAATTCCCACAAATAAAATTGGATTTTGTGCTGCTGTGAATAGAATTTTATGTCCTCACACTTAGGTGTTTTGGAGACTACAGTAGACATAAGGGGTTCTGTGAGGTCCTAGTTCCATAGTGTCAAGGGTAAAACACCAACATGTTCTGCTGCACTTTCTCTTTAAAAAAAAAGCCAGTCTCAAGCTTTGCAGTCTGAATTTTTTTGAGTTAGGAGCAACCCTGGTCATCAGAGTTCAATTAAAACTGCTTGAGTGCAACCTGACTCTTCACCTTGTGTGCATTGTAGATATGGAAACTGTAGACTTGAATATCAACAAGTGTAGATAAAGATACAAAGCTGAATGAGACCTTGCAAAACAAGTATCAGAACTTGTTCTCCCATCTAAAAATAGGAAAAGGAAAGAAATTATAAGATGAGCAAATACTTTCTCTGTCTTTATTTATGAATTAAACCTTCCTTTCAGTGAGGGTAGTGGTGTCAGTTGATATGGAGCAAAATTCATATGCTCAAGTCAGGGGGTGTTTATCTTCCACTGTCACGTCCTGCAAAAAATTAGATTTCCAGTGTGTCTGCCATATTATGTTTTCTTTAATCTTGTAAGTCAGAAACAGTGCTGTAGGTTTCAGAATACAAGGTGTCTTATTTATATTTAATTGTGAGGATAATATGATTCACATGGAAGATGCAAGAGAAAATCTGAGAAGGAAAAATAGCTAGATGTGGATGTATATGTTAAATGGAGTAAATGGAAATAGGTTTTAACAAGGGAAGATTGCACTTTATGCCTTCTTCAATACCTGAGTTTTGTAGAAAATGTGTAACAGATCCCATAGTTGGATTTCATTAGGGAAATAAATGACTAAAAGGGAAAAAAAATGCAAATTTTAGGTCAGTGTTGTAGTCATGTTATTCTTCATGGATTTTATCATGATCTCAGTCTTAATGGTTATTTATGGCAATATCAGTAAAAAGAAAACATATGCTGGTTAAATTGGAAGATGGAAAAGTCTGGAGTAGTTTTCCTGCCAGAATTACACAGTATGGGGTGCATATCATTGGTTAAGTTTCATCACATTTCTGCTGTGCTGACTTCAAATAGCTTTTTAGCCATACTATTATGGGCTAGAAGAATTCTTGCTGTATGCTGGGAACTCAGCAGTTGGCTGTGACTAATGAGGAAGACAACCGGATGTATTAGAGGATCGCGTAGTAGTTACGTGATTTGAGGGAAAGGAAATGCATCCTAAAATGTGGTGGATGAAATAAGGAGTGCTGTGTGCTATTGCTTCAGGCACTGGTGAGACATATTGTGAGTTACAAGGTAGAATTTGGGTTATCTGCTTAAGAGGGGGGAAAAAATCCCTGAGTGAAATAGATACAGAGCTGGGCTTCAGTGTAATTAATTAAGTGCTGAGAAAGAATAAAGGGATTGCCTTTGTTAACCTGCCCAGATAAAAGCTTACTGTTTTGTTTTGGGTTTTAATTTCAATTTCATTGC